ACGCCGGGCCCGGCCGGCGTGCTGTGCGCTCCCGAGCAGGGCTGGGCGCCGCTGGCGAGCCCAAACGCCGCCTTTCCAGTAACTCGCCGGGAGATGCAAGGGGGCGTCCCGCCCCCAGCAAGCTGGAGGACAAACGAGTCCCAACAGCCTCGCGTGTGCTTGCCGAGGGGGAAGGCGTGCAGACTCCTCCCTCCCCCGAGCGCCGGGGCCTCTCGAATCTTCTTGCAAGGGTCCTGCGCTCCTCTGCGCGCCTAAAGGGCCCCGCATAACCTCCAAAACTTTTAGAAAGGGGCCAGCAAGAATGAACCCGATTCGAAGAATTGGGAAAGAAACGGAGGAGATCTGAGGTCGTTTTCAACCTCCGCGAGCCACCTTATAAGCAAAGTAATATGCGCTTAGTGCAGAAGCGGGAGTACAGGAAAGTGTTAGGTGTTTAGAAAACTACGAAACACCTGTACTGCCACCTCTCAGAAGCACTTTACATACTGGGATATTCACATTTGGCTATGTGTATTTCTCTTTGCACTGATAACTCCGTGCAAATCATTTGGTGTTTTGCTTTTTGTTAATATATTTTTCTTATTTTTAAATTAACTTTATTTTATTCATTTATTTTCATTTGACCAGAGAGGGAGGGGGAAAGAGAGAGAGAGAGAGAGAAAGTGAGAAAGCAAGTCGCCAGGTCTGGGACTCGAACCACATTTGGCCATGTGGGATCCCAGTGAACTCCATGCCACCTGCCAGCCCCTGTTTTTAATGTCTTATCAACAGTTCTCATGTCTTTAAACATAAATACATGGAATGGCTCAAAGCTAACACTGTACAGAGGTACCTAATGTAAACTATTGTTGGTTGGTTGGTTGGTTTTAGGTTTTTGCCATGGGTGTGTGTGCTGGCTGGAGAGAGACAGAGGGTTGGAAAGTGAGGAATCACTCCTCAGGGGAATGGTCACGTTGTAATTCCTTCTCCATTCTCATTTTCGGATTTCAGACACACACAAACCTTATGTGATTTTTCAAGCCCACTAGGCCATGTGAGATCCAACACCTTAACCTCCTGTTTGCAGGCCCCAACATTGTCATTTCTTAAAGGACCAAAGGACCACATAATTTATGAAGTTCTTGATTCTTTCCTGTTTTAAAAAAAGTTTGCGACACACACACACACACACACACACCACACACACACACACGGCTTTTGACAAGGTCTTGCAGAGCAGCAGCCTCCTCTCAGCCAGCCAGGGTGACAGGCAGTCCCAGCTGTCCAGGGCCACCTGGGGTAGCATCTGAACGGGCAGGGCTGGGATCCTAGTAGTGTGCCCTACTAACTGCCGCTGCAGCTGGGCAGCACAGTTCTTGATTCCTCTTGTTTTGTTAATACTCAGTGGGTACATGGGCTTGCTGGGGAGAGAGAGACAGAACCCTCCCCCTGTGGGGCAGGAACATGCTGCAATCCTTTTTCCTCCATCTCTTCATTCTGTTGGACTTTTGGCCCCAATGACACTTGCCAGTAGTGTTTTTCAAGCCACTGCAGCCAGAACTCCAACCTGGGTCAGTCATAGGAAATCCAGATTTTTATGCACAGCACTTTAACTGCTGTTCTGTGGGCTGTCCCTGGTTCTTAGTTCTTTACATTAGTTTGTTCTCTAGAAAGACTTTATTAATTTATATTTCCAGTCTCACCAAATAAATGGCCAATCTTGCTGGGCTTATGGATATTGATAAAGGAAAGACAGGAGGCCTTGAACAGGAGAGCTGTCCGTCTTTCCTTCTAGGCACCAGACCTCCACTCTACCTTTTCTTTATTAAAAATATAAAGAAATTGCAGAGCCTTCTGGACTCAGACATTCAGATTATTGTCAACGTTGGCCAGTTCTTGCTTTGTGCCATTTTCTATTCCCATCATGGTATATTCCTTCTCAAACTTAAAATGAGTATAACCCCATCAGCACCTTATAGACCTGGAAGAGGAGTCAGTGAGACGGCTCTCCCTAGAGCTCAGCCTACTGTGAGGCTCCTTCCCGGGGTTCCCCCAGGAGGCTTAGTCTGCTAATAGGCACAGTGTCTCCCAACGGGTAATAAGTCAAAGCTTAAGTGTTAAATAATGATTCTCATCAGGCCAGCAGGTGATATAGTGGTTAAGGCACTGGACTCTCACATGGCCTACGTGGTTCAAATCCCGGATCTGATGGTTTGCTTTCTCATTCTCTCTCTCTGTTTCACTCTGGTGCACATACATGACCTATGGCAAAACTTTAAAAAATAATAATATGATTAATTTAAAAAAATGATTCATCTATCAAGAATCCTCTGGAAAATGAACTCCTGGGTGTCTCTCCATGCAGGACTCTGGCAAATCATGGCCCTGGAAGAATTCATTCCCCAAATCTGAGCGGGTGGAGGGATGCAAAGTGACCTTCTGGATCTGCAGGATTGCGTTGTAAGAACAAATAATAACGGGGCCAGTAGGTGGCCTGGATGGTAAGGCAGTTGGAGCCCACATGGCTGACTTGACAGTGTGAGTCCTGGACCCAGCAGCTTCAAAATCATGCCAGCCATGTGTGCATGCATGCCCAAAATCCCAAGAGGAGAGTGAATGAGAAACGACTGTGGCCTGACCATGCCCCTGGAGGAGTGATTTCTCACTTTTTTTTCCCTTTCTCTTTTTCTCTTCAGGGTGTGCTCATCCCCTATAGCAAAAACTAGAAAGTAAATAAATAAAAACATAAATCATAGTAGCCACTCAACTGAGCATGCTCGGGAGCATGGGCCGAGCCACAGCAGCACTTTGAAGAAGGTGCTATTATAGTGCTCGCGTTACAGATGAGGAAACTGAGGCTCAGAGACTTCTGCATGCTTTGTAATTACTAGCACGTATTGCTTTCTTTGGCTTTTCTCCTTCGGTTCCTGTGGGGAGAGAGTGGATCCAAGTAAACTTCACTTTTTAAAAATTGTTTAAACTTTTGTGTACTGTGTCCATGTGAATCACAGCACAGCGCTGGATAAAAAATGAAGCCATAGCCACCGCTTTCTGCCTTTATTTCCATTTGGCTACAAAGTGGCCATCCCGTGGGTTTCTATCCTCTAGCCCCTAAGCTGCCTCTTTTCTCGACCCCAGAAATTCAGCTCCTACCGTGGCTATATGTGGAGCCCTTGCCTTGCCCTTATATTTGAAGTCAGTAATATTCATGTGTTTGCCTGGCGTACCCCATCTGGGCCACTGACCTTGTGATTTTTTTTTTAAAGGATTACTTATTTTATTTGTTATTGTTATTATTTTTAATTGGACCAGAGAGAGAGAGAGAAAGGAAAAATGAGAAAGCAAGCTGCCAAGTCCCCAGGACTCGAACCTTGTTGGCCATGAGGGAGTCCAGCACCTTAACCACCACACCACTTGCCAGCCCCGTGTTTCTTTGTTTGTTCGTTTGTTTGTTTTTTTGTTTGTTTGTTTGTTTTTGTTTTGAAGAGTTACTTTCTGGGATGGACTGTTGTGAATCTCTTTTTTCAGATTTCCTTAAGACTTTCATTCATCCTCCTAGACTCACCAAATCATGAGATGGTTGCATTTTCAAGCTATAAAGGAACTTATCTATGGTCTTATCATTAAATTACAGGGAAAGTGCTCCCGTTACTCAGTTAGTTGTGTCACCAAAGCCAGGATGCAGGTGAACCGTGCTGTTTTTTATTCTGTGGCTCTGGGCTCTCCTGCACAATCATTGCTGATTAGAGCAGAGGCCACACTGTGAAAGAGTGGGAAAGGGCATCCCTCCACCTTTCTAGGTTCTTTGGCTAGGTTCCAAATTAAATTGACATGAGCTGGACAAATAGGAGAACTATTTGAAAGGCCAGTTGGAGGTGTGGTGGTCAGGGCGGCTGGATTCCTCATGGCAACTGCAGGTATTGAATGCTGGACCCAGTGGTCTGAAAAATACACTGAGTGCATGTGTGTGCCCAAACTCCTGAAAGGAGAATGGAGGAGGGATTCAATGAGACCATCCCCATGGGGGGCAATCTTTTTCTCTCCAATGAGCACATGTACCCTCTGGCAAATGAAAAAAAAAATCGTTTTAATTACGTGTATATGCACAGGAGTCCCATGAAACATGAGACTCTGAGAAGCTTGTAAAACATCCCAAGCTACAGCGTGACAGGGGCTTGGGGCTTCTGGAGGTGGTGGTAAACAAGTAGAGAAACAATGAGGGAAGGAACTGCATGGTGAATAAAGGTGGTCTTGTTAAGCAGATCAAAAAGTCTCTCAGGTTTGGGCCGGCAGATGGAGTGGGTGGTTGGAGGCACTGGACTCCCACATGGCCAACTGTGGTTCAAGTCCTGGACCTGGCAGCTTACCTTTTCATTCTCGCTCCCTCTCTCTGTCTCTCTCTGGTCAAATTGAAGAATAACAATAAATAAATCAAATAATTTTTTAAAAAACATTCCTTGTAGCCAGTAAGAGCCTTATGATTTTTATTTTGTTTTTCAAATGATTTTAAATTTATTTTAAAATAATTGCCTGTCCAGTCTTAGGTGGGTGCAACGGAAACACAGCAATAGACAACCAAGTTGGATAAGCAGGAAGACCGACGCCTTCATCACCTGCTGAGTTGGTGTGTTCTATAATTCTTCTCGCATTCCTTCTTGCTTTTCAGGGATGTGGGAGATTTTTGTTTGTTTTTATTCTGTTTTGGTTTTGGTCCCACAGAACAGGCAATATAGCTTGTACCCTCCATGGCAGACATCCAAATAGTACTGGTCGTTTCTCTCTGCAGAAAACCCAAACCAAACCAAACAGCAAACATTCCCACAAGCACATAGTATATTCATACATTTAGAACTCGTTGTCAGGCTATTTTTAAAAAATAGTATTGCTTGTGTTGTTTCTCAATGTAATTTCTTTATTGTTTCAATTCTGCAAGTTGCGTTTTTAAAAAAATAATTCTTTTATTTGACTTTATTTATTTATTTTTAACTTGACCAGAGAGGGAGAGAAAACAAGACACCAGGTCCAGGACTTGAACCATAGTCGGCCATATGGGAGTCCAACACCCTTAACCACCACGCCACCTCCTGGCAAGCAATTTGCTTTTTTTAAAAACTGAAGAATAGGTGGAGGTGGCAGGTGGTGTGGTGATTAAAGTGCTGAGATCCCACATGGTTGACTGTGGTTCAAGCCCTGGACCTGGAGGCTTGCTTTCTTATCACCACCACCACCACCACCCCAGCCCTCTGATACATTTAAAAAATAATAATATTATTAAATAAAATTCAAATAAAGAATTTTCTTTTTTTTTTTTTTAAAGAGGTTTTTGTCTTAGGGTGTGTGTATTCACTGGAGGAAGAAAGACACAGAGATAGTCAGAGGGAAAGTAAGAAATCATTCCCTGGGGGGATGGTCATGCTGCAATCCCTTCTTCTCCATTCTCCTCTGGGATTTTGGGAACACATGTACATGTGCCTGGCCGCTGGCACATTTTAAGCCACGAGGTCCAGGATTTGATCCTTGGTCAACCATGTGGGAGTCCAGTGATGTAATTGCTACACCATCTGCTGGTCCCAAAATAAAGAATTCTTTAAAGAATTATTTTATTGAACTCTATTTATTTAGTTAGTTATTTAAATTTGACCAGAGAGGGACAGAGTGAGAGAGAGAGAGGAGAAAGAGAGAGAAAGTGAGAAAGCAAGCTTCCAGGTCCAGGACTTGAACCGTTGTTGGCCATGTGGAAGTACAGCACCTTTAACCACTGTACCACTTGCTGGCCCCTAAAATATATTTTTTATAAAACCTAAAGGATAATATACATACAGAGAGATACACATGTCACAAGTGCACGGTTTGATGGATTTTCTCAAACTGAACATACCCAGTTATGCGCATTCAGTTGCAAGGCATTTCTGCACCCCATGTACAGGCACCCCCTGCATAGAGCTTTCAGTTGTTACTCTTTCTTGCTTCTTTTCAGAAATTTGCCTGATGGGAAAATGGATTTTTATTTGATTTAAAGATGGCACATTTCTCAGCTTCCAGCCTGCAGAACATATACAACAGAAGAAACTTGTTTTTCCTTTCCACTCTGAGGAGGCTGAGTTAAAATCAAGTGCATTAAAAACTTTGGCCACTTAGGAGAAAGCTTGAGGGCAGATGAATAGATTCATAGATATTTAGAGCTGGAAGAGCCTTTGGAAAGAGGAGCTTATGGCCAAGGCGTTACACCTTCCAAGTGGCAGATCTGGGACTCAAGCCCAGGCCTCCCAACAACCCACCATTATTCTTTGCTTTGTTCAGGTTATGTAAATAGCCATCACTGAGAGTGGAGTGAGGAACCAGGAGAAGAGACTTCAGGAAGATTTCCTGTGCGGAGTCGAGCTTCGACACTGTGGCATGGGTAGTTCCTCCTCTTCTATTCTATTCTACAAGAGAGAACCATGCTACCCTTGCAGTTCCAGTCCCAGACCTGGAAGTTTGAAAATCATGCCAGGTGTGTGTACACATGTGCCCAAAATCCCAGCAGGAGAATGGAGGTGAAGGGATTGTGGCATGGCCATCCCCCGGGGGTTGGTTTCACTCCCCCTCCCCCTCTGTCTCTCTCCAGTGAGCACACATACCCTATAGTAAAAAACTAAAATAACGAATAAACAAAAACCAGAGGTTTATCCAGCTCATGGCTTGCAGGTCCAAAATTCCTGAAATAGCCACAAATAGTTCTGTCAGGTCTATATTTAAAAAATTGTATGCAGCAAATTCACAAGGGCACCTCAGGATTTTATTTTATTTAGTTAGTTCGGTGTAGGGCACATGTGTTCACCAGAAAGAGAAAGTAAGAAGCCACCTCCCTCCCAGGGGGGATGGCCACACTGCCATCCCCTCACCTCCATTCTCCTCTCAGGATTTTGGGCACATGCGCACATACATCCAACATGTTTCTCAAGTACCCAGGTCTGGGATTGGAACCACAAAGGCAGTCATGTGGGATCCAGTCACTCCAACCTCCAAGCCACCTGTTGGCCCACACTTAGACTATTTTAAATTTTCAAGAGAAACATTGTGATGTCCGACATGTGTCACACACTGCATCAACTGTTACTTAAAAGACATTCTGTTTCAACATTAGATTGTGCTACAATTTGGAAGTCCCTCTAAAATGTATGTGTTGAGATTTGGTTGTGATGGGATTAAGAGGGTGAAAACATAACCCAAGTATGGTGTTGAAAGGCAGGACTTTTAGGGGCTGGCAGGTGGCATGGTGGTTAAGGGCAATGGATTTCCACATGGCTGACCACGGTTCGAGTCCTGGACCTGGTGGCTTGCTTTCTCACTTTCCCTTTCTCTCTCTCACTCTATCCCTCTCTGGTCAAATTCAAATAAATAAATAAACAAAAAAAAAAGTTAAATAAAAAATGATTCTTTAAAAAAAAAAGAATCTTTTAGGAGGATATTAGTATTAAAGTCATCAGGGTAGGGCTCCCATGCTTAATTCCTTGGTGGGTTTGTACAGTGAGGAAATTAGGTCAGAACAGGCACATAAATATAGGTGCATGTGTTCCTACCGTCCACTTATTGCAGTGCCTCACAAAACGCAACCTCTGGCCCTTGGACCTGTAAGCCATTAGCTGGATAAACCTGTTTTTTGTTTCTTTTGTTATTTTAGTTTTTCGCTATAGAGTACATATGCTCGCTGGAGAGAGAGAGAGAGAGAGAGAGAGAGAAGTGAAATCACTCCCAAGGGGGAAGGTCATGCCAGAATCCCTTTTCCTCGTTCTCCTTTTGGGACTTTGGGCATGCATGCACACACACCTGGCATGATTTTCAAGCCTCCAGGTCCAGGACTTGAACTGGGAAGTTGGCCACGTGAGATCCAGCCACCTTAACCACTATACCACCTGCTCACCCTAAACCTCTATTTTTTTTTTTTTTGGAGAGATTTTCACTGTAGGGCGCGTGCGCTCGCCAGACAGACAGAGAGAGACATAGAGACAGAAAGCGAGAAATCACCCCCCAGGGGGGATGGTCACGCCGCAATCCCTTCTCCTCCATTCTCCTCTCGGGATCTTGGGCACGCATGCACACGCGCCCGGCGTGAGTTTTAAGCTACCGGATCCGGGACACGAACCGCGGTCGACTACGTGGGAGTCCAGCGACATAGCCATTACGCTAACTGCTGGTTCCCCTAAACCTCTATTTTTATAAAGCATTACATGGTCATGACTTTTTCTTTCTCTCTCTTTCTTTCTTTCTCTCCTTTTCTTTCCTTCTTTCCTTCTTTCTTTCTTTCTTTTTCTTTCTTTCTTTCTTTCTTTCTTTCTTTCTTTCTTTCTTTCTCTCTCTCTCTCTCTCTCTCTCTCTAAGTTTTTGTCATAGGGTACCTGCACTTGCCAGAAAGAAACAAGAGAGAGGGAAATTGAGAAATCATCCCCAAGAAGGACTGGCCATGCCACAGTCCCTTCTCCTCTAGTCTCCTGGGATTTTGGGCATGTACACACAGGTGCCCAGTGTGATTTTCAAACCACATTTGACCACGTGGGACTCCAGCACCATAACCACTATGCCATCTGCTGGCCCATGACTGTTTTTTAAGCTGCCCCAGGTATGGCTCAGCCCCTTGTTAGGAACATGGCTTCAGGATATGCAAATGGCAGATGTTGGTGACATGTCCATGAAGGTAATCCTTCATAATTGCAGAATTTAAGAGCTGTGGAAGCATGGAGGCCTCCTCCTAGATTTCAAAGAATGCTTTGGACAGCCTGGAAGCCTAGGCAGAGACTTCTCCCAGGGGCAGAGGCTCTGCCGAGGGCCCCCATTGAGGCAATGCCGAGTGGCAGTGTGGGATGAGAGCTGCCATAGAGAGTCCCCACCAGGGCAATACCTAGTTGAGCCACAGGAGTGGGACCACCCATGAGACCCCTGGCCTGTAGCCCCAACAGCATGGAGCACCAGCCTTCAGAGAGAATTGCAGGCACAAGACTCCAAACAGAGAGCTGATGTGTGAACCGAGTCAGCAAAGCCACGAGGCGAGGCTGCTGATGCCTGGAGGACCCAACCTCTGGCCCAGTGTGTCCAGGATATAAACATGGGAGGAAATTTTATTCCAGAGTTTCAAGATGGGATGTCTGCCCTCTTGAGTTTGGACTTGCTTGGAACCTGCTCTTTCTTTCTTTTTGGAGAATGGGAATTTCCACTCTATGCCTATGTCACCGTTGTATTTTGGGAACATGTGATTTGCTTTGATTTCACAGGCTCATAGAGGGAAGGAATTTGCCTCGAGTCTCAGATGAGATTTCAGACTTTTGAGTTGATGTTGGAATGAAGTGTGACTTTGAGGACTATCGGGATGATTTTGTCTGTGAGAAGAACATGAGTTTTGGGGACCAGGAGAGAAATGCCATGGTTTGAATGTCTCCCAAAAATTCATATGTTGAAATTTGGTTGTGGTGGGATTAAGTGGGTGGAAATGGAATCTGACTATGGGGGGGCCTTTGGGAGGAGATTAGAATCCAAGTAATTAGGATGAAGCTTCCCATGATTGTGGGTTTTTTTTTTTTTTTTGAGAGTTTTTTTTTTTTTTCGCTAGAGGGTGTGTGCGCTCGCCAGACAGACAGAGAGAGACAGAGGGACAGAAAGTGAGAAATCACCCCCCAGGGGGGATGGTCACGCCGCACTCCCTTCTCCTCCATTCTCCTCTCGGGATCTTGGGCATGCACGCACACGCACCCGGCGTGAGTTCTAAGCCACCGGGTCCGGGATGCGAATCGCGGTCGACTACGTGGGAGTCCAGCAACATAGCCATTACGCTAACTGCTGGTTCCCGCTTCTGTGGGTTTATGAGAGGACTTCAAAGTATACATGGAAAAATAAAATTACAGAGTGAGTTTATTTTGGTGCAAAAAAAAAATCAAAATCCTTGGATAGTTGTTTCACAGTATGCATTTTCCATGAACTATTTGAAGATCCCCTCATATAAAAAGAATGAAGCCAGAACAGAGACACAGGGACATAGATGTATGTGCTCCTACCATGCAGGCAGAAGACCCTCACCAAACATGGCCCCTAGCTCTTGAACCTCCAAGCCATGACTTGAATAAACCTCTATTCTTATGGCTCACCCCCTTTCTGATATTTCTCATTATTAGTAACAGAATGGACCAGAACAGAAGCATTACATTCCTTTTGATGGCTTCCTTTTTTTTTTCTTTTTTAGAGGGAGAATTTTTTTTTTTCTGTAGAGCATGTGCACTTGCCGAAGGAAGAGAGAGAAACAGAGACAGAAAGTGAGAAATCACCCCCCACCCCCCCAGGGAGATGTCTATGCTGCAAGTCTTTCTCCTCATTCTCCTCTTGGGATTTTGGACACACACACACATGCGTCTGGCATGAGTCACTGGGTCAAGGACTCGAACTGCAGTTGACTATGTGGGAGTCTAACTATGTAACCATTACACCACTTTCTGGTCCCCTTTTGATGGCTTCGTTTCTTTACGGAGTTAACATTTTGGTAGATGCTGTTGCCAAACAAACACTGGGCTGGCTCCATAGCCTGGTGATTAAGGCCGCCGGATCTCACATGGCTAACTACATGGTTTGAGTCCTGGACCCAGTGACTTGAAAAACATACTGAGCACGTTGTTGCACGGGTGCCCAAAATCTCAAAGGAGGGAAAGACAGAGGAGAAATGATTGCAGCCTATTTTCCATAGAGGGACATTACTCCCTCTCCCCCTCTCTCTGTGTGTATCTGGCCAGTGCATATACCCTATGGCAAAATTTCTAAAAGTAAATAAATTCGTTTGAAAAGCAAGCATTATGCACCAGCAGGTGGTGTGGTGGTTAAGGTGCTGGATCCCACATAGCTGACTGTGAAGGTCCAGTTATCAGACCCAGCAGCTTGAAATCACGCCAGCCGTGTGTATGTGCCCCAAATCCTATGAGGAGAATGGAGGAGAAGGGATGGTGGTGTGGCCATCCTCCTTGGGGGATGAGTTCTCACTTTCCCTCTCTGTCTCTGGCAAGTGCACACACTCTATGGCAGAAAACAAAAATCTAAAAAGGAACAAAAGAGCAAGCATTATGAAAATAGAAATACTAAATACTAAATGATCCTTAGGTTTAAGAAACTATGCCGTACTTAACAGGTGCACCCATTCTTTTAGAAAGTAATTCCAGGGACCAACCAATGGTATGGTGGTTGAGGCAGCTGGATCCCATATGGCCAACCGCATGGACACAGCAGTTTGAAAAATATGCCGGGAGGGTATGTGTGGTTGCCCAAAGTCTCAAAAAGAAGGGGAAAATGTAGAAGGAATTGTGGTGTGACCATCCTCCATTTAGAATGCTTTCTTACTTTTTCTGTGTCTCTCTCCAGCAGCAAGCAGATGTGCTCCTAGCAAACTAAACAAACAAACAACAACAACAAAACAG